CCGTTGCTGCTGCAGCACGCAGCGCAGCAGCAGCAGATGAACCCCTGAGGAAAGGAGCTGCTGCTGCTGCCGCTGCTGCTGCTGCTGCTGCAGACAGAGACCCAGCCCCTAAGCAAGACGAAGTAGGGGCATCAGCTGCTGCTGCTGGTGCTGCTGCTTGTGCTGCTGCTGCTGCTTCCATTTCTGCTGCATCTCCTCCTGGTGCAGCGGGTATTGCTGCATCTGCTGCTTCATCTGCTGCAGCTGCTGCAGCTGTTGGTGTATATCTTGCTTCGATAGGAATTGACCCAGCAGCAGCAGCAGCAGCTGCTGCTGCTGCTGCTGCTGCTGCAGTGTCTGTTGCAGGCACCTCCTGGTGGCTGACTGCAGCAGCACAAGGTGCTGCAGCAGATGCTCCAGCAGCAGCAACATCTGCTGCAGCAGCAGCAACATGAGCTGCAGCAGCAGCACCATCAGCAGCAGCAGCAGCCGCTGCTGCGGCCCCTATTGTCTGCCCTGAAAAAAGCACGGGTGCTGCTTCAACAGCCGCAGCAGCAGAAGTTGCTGCACTTGCTGCTGCAGCTGTTGGTGTTGCTGCATCTGCTGCTGCATCTGCTGCTGCATCTGCTGCTGCAGCTTCTGCTGCTGCAGCTTCTGCTGCTGCATCTGCTGCTGCTGCACCTGCTGCTGCTGCATCTGCTGCTGCTGCATCTGCTGCTGTTGCATCTTCTGCTGCTGCATCTGCTGCTGCAGCTTCTGCTGCTGCATCTGCTGCTGCTGCCTCTGCTGCTGCTGCATCTGTTGCTGCTGCATCTGATGCTGCTGCATCTTCTGCTGCTGCATCTGCTGCTGCTGCATCTGTTGCTGCTGCATATGCTGCTGCGATTCGAGTTTGCTGATGCCGGGCGCTGCGAGCCTCAGGTGTCTCCGCACGTCCCGCCTCAATCCACTGCAGCAACAGCAGCAGCAGCAGCAGCAACAGCAGCAACAGCAGCAGCAACAGCAGCAGCAGCAGCACAAGTAGCAGCTGTAGCGGCACTCGTAGTAGAACTAGTAGTAGCAGGGGTGGAGACAAAAGGAGACAGATACAAAAGGAGACAGATAC